GCCATTGCACACAATTTTTAGAGGCACTGGGTTTTTCTCCAGGAGAACGAGTATGACATTACTCACATGGCATCCTGTTCCAAGGACATCCAACACACATTAGGTGCTCACATGGAAGGGATGGGGTGTTGCTTTGCATGCAGTGCAAGACCTTGCAACCTTAGTTAGATTCCTAAAAATTCCCAGCCCTCAGGAGGCTGAGGAAGGATTGTAAGTTGGAGTACATACCAAGTAGCTCAGTGAGACCCTGTCTCAAAATAAAAATTTTAAAAAGGGCTAGGGCTATAGTGTGAAAGTCCTCAGTTCAATCTCCAATAACGCACATACCCACAAACACTCTAAAAATTATGTGGCAAACTGAGAGCATTTCTGACTCTGTCAAAAAAGCCCTCGGTATCCATAATGTAAGCCAGGGATTTAGCTCAGTGGTTCTGCTGCCTGCCTTGCAAACACAAGGTCCTGAGTTCAATCCCCAGTACAAAAAAAAAAAAAAAGTGCTAACAAAATTAAGAGATAACTATATGTGATAGGAAGTGTTTCATCCTGTTCTAGTTTCCAGAATGTAAACACAACTTTTGTCTTAAAGTCTATGTTTTCTGATATTAGCATAGCTACACTAGCTCTCTTTTGGGTGTACCATCTATATCTTTTCCCATTCCTTTCAACACATTTGTATCCTTGAAGTATGTCACTGGTTGGTAGTACAAACTTGGATCAACTTTTAGATCTATTTTTCCCAACTGTCTGCCTTTTATTTAGTGTTCAAGACATTTATTCTTAAAGTAATTACTGATAAGGTAGGGTTTATGTTTGCCATATGGCTGTTTGTTTTGTATATGGCTTCTGCATTTTTCATTTCTTTATTCTTCCATTACTGCTTCCTTTTGCATTAAATAAATATTCTGTGGTATAGTATTTTAATTGCTTTATTTCTTTGAATACATTCTTTTGATTTATTTTCTTAGTGGATGTCTGGGCATTACAATTAACATCTTAATTTATAAAAACCTAGTTCAGATTAATACTAACAATTTCAATAGTACCAAAAACATTTGCTTTTACAAAGCACCATCCTGTTTCCCTCTTTTGCCCCATTGTTGTCATACAAATTACATCTTTACATATTTATACCCATCAATGCAAATTTATAATTATTGCTTTTACATTTGCCTTTTAAATCACAGAGAAGAAAAGAGCTATATACACAAATGACACTTATACTTTATTTTATAATTCCCTACAAAGCTACATTTACCAGTGCTCTTTATTGTTTTCATGTGGGTTGGAGTAACTGTCTGGAGAGAGTTCTTTGATCTCCTTCTGAAGGATTACTTCTAGTATTTTTGTAAGGAAAGTCTACCAGTGTTTAATTCTGTCAATTTCTGTTTAATTAGGAATGTCTTAATTCTGCCTTCATTTTTGAGGAGTTTTGCTGGATATATAGTTCTCACTTGACGGTCATTTTTCTTTCAGCACTCGAATATGTCATCTTCTGCCTTCTGGTTTCTGTTGATGTTGCTGAGAATCAAGTGTACATTTTATTAAGTTTCCTTGGTACATGATGAATATCTTCTCTTCTGTCGTTTTCAAGATTCTTGGTCTTTGGCTTTTGACAGTTTGATTATGATGTTTCTAGGCATGGATCTCTGAATTTACCCTACTCTGAATGTGTTACGCCTTTTAAAATCTCTTGATTTTTCTCTCCCAAATCCCAGGTATCAGCAAGTCTTGACAACTTTACCCTAGTACAAAAAAAATCAGTGGTGGTGAACCTATGGCATACGTGCCACAGCCGGCTGTTCGTTATCTTTGAAAACTCGAAAAGGTTCATCATCCCTGTCCTAAATCCTTACTTCTTATTTCTTGTTCTGCTGCCCTAACCCAAACCATCAGCACCTCTCACTTGGCCTAGGACTCCGGCCTCCTCACTGGTCTCTCTGTCCCTGCAGTCCTCTCCTTTCATTCTCCAGCTACAATGAAGAGAGAGGGAGAGAGAGAGAGAGAGAGAGTAGTATTCAACTACAAGGCATAATAAAAACTATGGTGAATATTTAAATTTTAAAATATTTATTACAGCTGCTTTCGGGATACCATGACATAAACAGCTTTTCTCTATCAGATCCTTCTACTGTGCCTCCTTGCCTTTGGAGCTGGCCAACTATGGACTAAAAACATGAGCTAAAATAAATCTCTCCTCTTTTAAAAAATAAGTAAAATAAAATAAAATAATAAAATATTTACTACAGTAAAAGACACATTACAATGAATCTTTCTCAAAATATCTTCTTACAGCACTTCTGGAACTCCTCTTTCGTAAATGTCTTTAGTTGCACTGTCGTGGCTGCCTCAATATTCTGAATCCATTCAAAATGTTCCCCTTTCATGGTCATTTGGACTTTGGGGAAGAGCCAGGAGTCACACAATGGCAGATCCAGTGACTAAGGTGGATGAGGACACAGTGTTATGTTTTTATGAGCCCATCTTTTCATGGATGGCACTTGGAAGCAACACTCACTGGATTTTTTATCACACCTCATAAAAACATTCAGAAGGCCAGAATAGTTAAGGGTGTGGCTCATACCTATAACCCAGCACTTGGGAGGCTGATGTAGGATTGCTGCAAGTTCAAGGCCAGCCTAAGTCACACTACACAATGACAGCCTGTCTCAAGGCACCAAAAAGGTGGCCAGAATGATGGGACAAGTGTGTTCAAAGTGAGGAGGGGCATTTTAAGGGGACTTAATGGCACAACGTGTCTTTTACCATTATATATATATATTTTTTTAATTTGCATAGTCACCATATTTTTATTTCACCCCATATTTTGCCTGTTATCTACAAATAGATTCTCCCTGGAGTTTATCTCAATTTTTAAAAACTCACTCTTCCTTGCTGTTGCCCTCCACTGCTAAGAATAGTGGCCTCCACACAATACAATCCCAAACATCTGCTGATAGAATGGTCACACCTGTGCTTACCAGGGGGACAAGATTTTCTAACCAAGAGTGAGCACAGGAGACCCAAGGCTGTGATGGATCCCAGATTGCCCTCTTTTAATATAGACCTGCTCCCCAATACCCTTGGTTTTAGCTGCATTTTATCATTTTTTGATTCAGTAATCACTGATCATTGATCTCTGGGCTCATTTCCATGGCAATCCTTAACCAACCAGAATATCCCACTACCCAGGACTCTTCTAATTCATCCTTACTGGAAAACCCAGCTCCCCATCAAGGTGCTTTCCAGCTTCAAGCAGATGGTAAGAATCCTGAGTGGGGAAACTGAGGCCATTGGTCGTGTTCCAATGGGAGGCCCAAGGCATGAGGAACTCACCAGACTGTATGCATGATTCTTGTGTCTGCTTTGTGTCAGGCAGGTAAAATGCCCAACAGAAGATCACCATTGTGCAGCTGAGAGGCAGTGTTATGGTTTAGATCCAGAATGTCCCAAAACTCTCATGTGCTCAGAGGCAGGGGTTTTAGATTGATCCGGTGGGTGCTGTACTTGTCTGTGGATTCATCCAGTGATGTTCAGTAGCTGAGTGTGCTGTTAGGAGGTGGGGCCTGGCCAGCCAGAGGTTTCTGGGGGCCTGACATGGAGGGGTGAATCTCCCTCTGCAGCTCTTCCTTTCCCTCTCTGCTTCCTAACCGCCACATGTGAGCTGCTGTCCTCCTCCCAGGCCCTTCCACCATGTAGTTTCTGTGTCTGAGCCTGCCAACCATGAACTGAAACTTCTGTAACTGTGAGCCAAAATAAATCTTTTCCTTTAAGTTGTGGATGTTGGGTATTGTGTCCCAGGGAAGGTGGGTCCTCTCATCTTCAGGGCTGGTGAGTAACGAGCATTTTGGGTCCACGCTCCAGGCTCCAATTGCAGGAAGTTATCTGACTCAGCCAGGGGTAAAAAGTCTGCTCACGTGGGAGGCAGAGCCAGGGAATCAGGTCAGCTCAGCCCACAGAAAATGAGGGACACCCTGGGCACCTCTCCTGGGGAGGTCTGACTCCCTGGTGTTTTCATTACAAAGGGCATTCAAAATAAACTGCTCTCCAACTGGCCTCAGTACACTGGGCTCCAAAGGCCCCCAAGCAAGACGTCTGGCCTAATTTCATGCTCTATCCAACTCTGATGACATTCAGGACCTACCAAGTCATAATTCACAATATTGCAAATGGTGATCCACCAGTCTTGGTTTTAGAGGTTACAGTTCCCATCACAGCCTAGGTATCGAAGCATACCTGGCTTAGTGTCATGTGGTCCTAGATTAGAATACCCCCAATTATAGTAGAAACTGACAATGTTCCTTGGGAAGGATGCAAACTAAGTTATACCCTGCAGCTGCCAAGACAGAGTAAAAAGATAAAAATGGAAAGTGGGGTGACAGAGGTTAAGGGACTCTCAACATGCCAGCCAGGGCCAGGCAGGCAGGCAGGCACACAAAGAACTCTGCAAAGATTGCAGTGGCAAAAGGCCTTTGAGTCAAGGACCAGAAGGCAGAGGTAAGAGGACAAGTGGTTGTAGGGACAGGTCTGCAGGCTTCAGAGCTACAGGCCGGCCATGACCAAGGGTCTGTTCTTTGCTGGCTACAGGAGCCAAAGGCAGCTTTAATTGTTCTGTGCATGCACTTGTGAATCAGCAGGAGCGTTTCCAGGGGGCTGTCAGGTAGAGCAAATGAGATGCTCAATGAAGAGCACCTGCACAGAGTAAGTGCTGAACAGGTATCACACCTGAGGCAGCTGTGGGTCCTCTCAGCTGGCTGATGAGACAGAGATAGGCTAGGGATACAGAATCTGCTGGGCAACCCCCATCTGACATGAGAAAGGATGGGGTACACCTGGAATGCATCCTCCCACACGTATCCTCAGCTCCTGAGTCCTCCAGACACAGGTCTGGATATGTCCACTGGGTCAGGCTCAGACAACCCCTGACCCCCTTCACCCCGCCTTGGCCCCAGGTGGGGAGAAACAAAACCTGAAGCATCTTCCAGTGCACTTTAATCAAAATTCCATCTTCAGAAGAATTCTTGTGGCATACAATGTCAGGATGGGCATGTCAACTTGGTCGTACAAATGGAATTTCCACAGATTCTCACTTCAAACAGGTATGAAAAATAAAATATATAATATTTAGCTTTATAAATTTCCCCACTTAATCACATTCTCTTTAAAATAATTACAATAATATTAAGCATCCTGGAGTCACTGAGCAAACATCAGCCAAATGACATTCATTTTCTTAAAAGTTCTTGGGGGAAACAGTCGATGGGCACAGATGCTTTCAGGAATCAACATGGATTAAAAATGGACACACTTCTCACAGTGGCAAAATGTAAAAAATGGAGCCTTCTAATGGCTGTTCTTTTCTGATGGGGAAAAATAGTCCCCAGGGCACACCAAATGGTTGTAGAAGCTGCACATGAACTTTTGGCACCAAATGAGTGATTCCTTTGAAGCATGGGTCTGAGGAAACAGTGGTAGAGGGGCAGAGAACAGCTACTGTGGCCTTTCCCCGTCTGGGTCCCCCCTTGGAGTCAGCAACCCCTCTCCTGCTTTGGGAAAGACAGGGTTTGTCTGGGCAGTCAGCCCTTCACCAGCTAGACTTCCTCACAGGGACAGACTTGATGCACAGGACACGGGTACAGATCCTTGGTAGATCAGGGGTGACTATCTTTGTTGTGTGCTCAGCTGACAGCAGGGATGTGCTCTATACACAAGGGACATACAGAAGGTGCACACAGGACACCAGGGATCTGAGAGGACAGGCAGGACTGGGCTGCTAGCATTTACAGGAGAGGGGCTTACAGACATCACCCCCAGCAGGAAATCAGCTGTTTGCCCACTTGTGGCTTGGGGCTTCTACCCAAGGGATTCTGGCACTAACCCCCAAAACTAAAACCTTGGAAAGGAACAAATAAGCCAGTGACAAATGATGCCACATGGCATTGGTCTTAGAATTTCCCTGGGGTCGGGCTTTGGGGTCCCACCCACTGGGGCAAGAGGTTTATACAGTTCAACGGAGGAATAAGTGGCACTGAAACCCCTGCAGGCCTGCTCCTGGCCTCCTGGACAGGGAGAAGGTGGCTACAAATCCAGGAGACGCTCCTCACATGTCTCCACGGGCCACTTGGAAGCCCCTCCAAACACATTGACGTTGTTGTCCACCCAGGGGATGATGTTGCCTGGCATGTTCGTGGAGCAGTTGGCGATGTTGATGATTTCCTGTGCGCGGAGAACGCGGTCCCAGATGTTGAATTGGCTGAGCTCTCCCACAAATGCCTGTGTGGCGTCAAATCTGTCTCCCACAGTGTCCTGAGAAATAGGACAGGACATCCACTATTAGGGCCGATGTACACGTACACACACACACTAATTCTCCAGGAAGGTGGGGGTGTGGCTTGGACACTCCTCTGACTTCCCTACTCTGATCACAGATTCTATTGATTCTGAGACTTCAGGGTGTGCCAGGCCTGTGACACAGCTGACTCAAACCACTCATTTTATACAGGCGAAACAGGCCAGACAGGAGAAACAGTTGCCTAAAGCTAGAACTACAGCTGTATCTCCTGACTTCAAGTCATTCAAGGGAGTGGTAAGAGGACAGAGGACGGGAGTGGGCTAGGAAAGGACCAGACTCCAAGCTCTCCAAACACGACTGTTTGCTCCCCTCACCTAGATGGTACATCTCCTGGGGGCAATTCCAGGTCTCCCTCTCTCCTTCCTGTACACTCAGACTGGCATTTCCTAAGTGCCCTGTTCTGGAAATCAAGGACAGGACCCCCAGCAAGCAGCACCCAGCAGATACCAGCTCCAGCATACGAGTCACTTCTAACCCAGGCAAAGGCAGACCCCGCAGATTGCAGCCTCAGCCCTGGAAGGAAGCTGGCACCCGAGTGACAAGACAACCTCATGACCACAAGGGCCCCCACCCCTCCATGTCACATGTGATTTTGGAATCCGCCTGAATCCCTCACCCCAACCTGGTCCCTACCAGTGCTGGCCATGTCCCCAGCAACCTGCCCTGAGCCCATGAGACAGTATGGGTCATGACCATTGGGCAGCCCTCAGACCACAGTGGCCAGACTCTTGGAGAGCACCCACCTGCTCCTGCCCAAGGATCAGCACCCCGCCTGGCTTGATGGGGTGCCAGGGGGCCAGGTTCTCCCCAGTGCCGAGCTTCTCTCCATCCTGGAAAGCCTCCCACATGCCATCTCGTGTTGTCCAGGTGATGCAGATGTGGTGCCACTTGCCGTCACTGACAAACAGGGGCAGCTGTGCAACCTGTGGGCAGCCACATACAGATGAGGATGTGCCCAGCCCTGATACCTGAAGTGGAAGGCCACCTGCGAGTCCCACGGCCACTGTGCTGCAGAGCTCCCCTTCTCTGCTGTGGGTGACACTCAGAAGAGGGCAGGCTCAGCATGTACCCCTGGCGTGAACTGGACACATCATAGTCCCAGCCCAGATGAGGACTGAGTTGACATGAGGGTTACCCTCCCCGCTGGCCCTGAGCTCTCTGCACAGAACCTGAAGTCAGGTTCTGACTCTGAACTAGCTAGCTTCCTTGGAAAACAGAGCAGGGATCTCTCCTCCCAATGTCCCCGGTGTCACTCTGGGATCTCTGTGATTCAGGGGTGGGTGTTCCCTCTCTGGGTAGAGGCTGGAGGGTATCAGTGTGAGGGGAGGAGACGCATAGATCACATACAGAACTGCAGGCTGAGCTAGGGGCCCCTATTGTTACTGCTGGTCTCCTAGCAACCCAAAGCCTTCCTCCAGGAATTAGATGTTTACTAGAGGTCTCAGAGGAGAGGAAAATAAGACTCTCAGTCCTACCATGTTATTTGGAACAATTAATCCTCCACAGGCTCCACAGCATTTCCAATTTAAACAAACTCCACCCAGAGCCGATGGGAATAGCCCATAGTGAGGGGCTGGGCTGTGCATGTGTGACACACACACAGGAGCACAGCCTGGGCAGCCGGGGCAGCCAGGGAGTTGGCACTGAAATCCAGTCCAGAGGACACAAGGCTGTGCTTTTGTTATGTTTAGTGCACTTTGGAAGGAAAGTTTTGAAGCGGGCGCTGTTGAAGGTTCTGGGAGGCCCACAGCTTATCTTCTGAGGAAACCAAATTCCTGGGCACTTGCTAAAAAGGGCCATTTTCTCTGAAAAAGCAAGACTATAGGGTCAGAGAATGGCCAGCATTGACTATAGGCTGTGGCAGGGGTCGGGGTAGGAATTTACAGGACAGAATTTGGGGTGGGAGAGGGTGGCACAGTTTTCTATTTTTATTGTGATGCTGGCTACATAACTGTATATATGTTGAAACTGGCTGAAATGTGCATTAAGGCAGTAAGTTTCACTATATGTAAAAACAGTATCTCTATAAACCTGATCTCTCAAAGATCTCCCCAGCCAGCCCCTGCACACAGAGACCTGCTCTCTGCTCCTCCCAACCCCTTCTGCTTCCTGGCCAGACTCTTTGATTGGATCTCCATGTGCTACCACTCTTCCCTTCCCTCCCTGCCTTTCTGCCAGCACCCCAGAATGGGACCAACTCAGCACAAAGCCTCTGGCCAGGATTGCTGGGCTGTGTCCCAGGCTGGCCAGGTGCAGGCTCCCCCTCACCAGGTGTCCACTTCCCCCAATGCCCAGGCCTACACCTAGTAGCCTCACCTTGTCATTGATGAGCAGTTCGATGGGGTTGTTACCCCATTCTATCAGCACAATCTCATTAGCCTGCCCAGGCACAGCATAGGAGAATGGGGTGCCGATGCCTGGTGAGGCACTAGACCGCAGCCACAGGCAGATGGTGAAGGCATACAGCTCAGGCAGTGTCTTCTTGATCTTGCCATACAGGTAGTTGGTACGGAGTGGGAGAGACACTTTGAATGCGTCTGGTGACTTAAATGCACTGTTGCCTGGGCAGACAGAAGGTACAGCCATTAGGTCACCCTGCCCCCAGTGAATCTCAACTGCACCCACACTCAGGCAGCATCATCACCTGCCAGCCACTGTTCAAAGTGCTGAAGTCCAGCAGTCCAAGAGACAGTCTTTGCCTTCAAGAGGCTTACATGCTGGAGGGGAAGACAGAAAAGAAACCAGATCAGTGAATCTCAACTGCACCCACACTCAGGCAGCATCATCACCTGCCAGCCAAGAGACAGTCTTTGCCTTCAAGAGGCTTACATGCTGGAGGGGAAGACAGAAAAGAAACCAGCAGCAGGTGGTGAATGGAAGGTCAGGGGCCAGAAGGGAGGCAGAGGAGGGAGAACTGTGGCAGAGAAAGGTCTGTGGATGGGAAGTCCATGAAGAGGTACCAGGAAGTCTGAGGCCCCAAGGAAGCCTGGGTAAGGAAATAGAGGAAAGGATTACTTTATGGGTAATGTACTTGATGTGTTAGAGAATTTTTATTTTTAATTTATTTTTGTGATACTAGGGATTGAATCCAGGAGTGCTTTATCACTGTAGTACATGTCTTTTCCTTTTTAAAATTTTTATTTTGAGGTAGGGTCTCCTCAAGTTGCCCAGGCTAGGCTCAAACTTCCATTCCTCATGCCTCAGAGTGGTAAGACTATAGGTATGTGCCTGGATTTATTTTATATTTTGAGACAGAGTCTTGCTAAGTTGATAAGTTGCCCAGGCTGGTCTCAAACTTGCAATTCTCCTGCCTCAGCCTCCTGAGTGCTAGGATTCCAGGTGTGGACCATCATGCCTGGCACTAGCTCTGTCTTTTACAACAGAAAAAGAGCCTACTTTAAATCCAGTAAGAAAAAAATCTATGGTCCTTTCTGCTTAATACTCCCTATTTTTGTAATATAGCTGATGATTAGAAAGACTGAGGAAGTGGGTAGAGATAAGTTTGATTTTCTTGTTCCATTAAGCCAGATAATCTTATTTCAGCCAGGTCTTGTTTCCTCAGATCTTTCCCTGAGCTCTGAGCCTCTTTGTGAAGAAGCAGGGTCTGAAATCTATAGCACATGGGCTTGGAGATGGAAAGTCTCACAGGGACCTAGGTAAACACCTACCAAGTGAACAAGATCATGTCACTTTGTCATACTAAATAATTGCCACCACTGAAGCCAAGGAGTTGGGCTCCAGGTCTTGACACTACAAATAACTCAGAAGTGGCTGGCTGAACCCCTGCTGTAATTCCCTCATTCCCATTTTCCCTTTCTTCCCCAAGAGAGGATTGTGTTTCTTGGCCATTTTCTATAGTCCCAAACCAAACGGAGGCATATACATGCAGAGGGGTTCGCCCCACTCAAACGAACACACCTGCTTCCAGAACTTTCTAGGTCGAGTAAGGATGCTCCCTCTCCCCAGGCCACCCCTATGTACACAGCACTTTCCATGTCCTGTACAACAAACTCTGAAGTGGATTTAATAAACTCAAAATTACTTTAACAATGCCAGTCCCTGTTATCACAGATTCCAAAGTTTGCAGGTAAACATTGATTCAGTGGGCTGTCGTGACCAAAGCTTTCCTCTTATTTGGAGACCAAATCTGGCCAGCAAAGACACCCAAACAACCTTCATTCATTCAACAAGCACCCACAAAGGGTAAGCTGTTTGAATAACCAAATTCAGTTTCTGTTAGAGTAAGCCTCTTGGGGCCAGGGCTCACATCTATCTGAGGAGGGTCTTCAGGGTAGAACAGGCCCAGGATCACCCTTCCAGCCTCTCTGGAGCGGGGAGGATGTCATCGACACCAGAACCCAGGCTTCTTAGCAAATATATGGTTGTGCCTATGATTGTGTCATCTCCTGGCCTCCCAGAGCAAGGCACCCAGGCTGTAGAGCATCTCCCAAGGCTAGGAAGACATGGCTACCCAGGAAGTGGAGAGGCCAGGCCAGACTAAGGGCAGGGGCAGGCCCTTCATCAGGCTGAAGAAAAACAAACAGGCAGCCCCATCCCCTGGTTTTGCCAGTCATAGAGTTGAAATTCCAAGACTAAGACAAGTGAGGTGACTTACCTGAGGTCACATAGCTAGTAAATTACAGAGCAGGGACTGGAAGTCCCTCTTCCCACTATGTGGAGCCACTAGAACTTAAATCTTCAAGCATCAAATGGTCATGTTCTTAATGAAGGCATCATTATCTAATAAAGAGAAATGGCTTCTATGCTTGCAGGTGGGCAGGCTTTCCAATGTAATAAGACTCAGTATCAGTAATATTGTTAGCTTGGTAACAACAGATAGATTTAATTAGAGCTAGGAGATTCAAGGGGCAGAGGAGAGGGTCTACACCCTGAAAATTGGTGCTCTTTATTTGAATAAAACAGCTTGGAGGTTCAGAGGAAACTTAGTTAAAACCAATTAAGTAATTAAAAAGCCTGAACAATAAATCAGAAGCTGCAGGTGGCGGACAAACTCAAGGAGGGGATGGGTAGCCTAGGGCTACAGGGAAGAGGCTCTGGTCTTCTCAGTGCCAAAGCCACTTTCAACAATGAGCTGGATCACGCCTGGCCAGCTGGCCTGGACTCTGGAGGCCCCTGCGAATGTGTAGGTCTCATAACAAAGAAAACAGGCATCCCAGGGAGCCAGGGGCCATGAGCATCCACATGCAGGGTCACTGCCTGCCAAGTTCACAAAAGCCCCTAGCCCAGCAGGGCAGAAGCCTTCGCTCTTCCTTGGGAGTCACAACCCTCAATTCCAGCTCTGCAGGAAAAGCAGATGTCACTTGGCTGTGACTTCAGTCCCTCATCTGTAACTCTTACCTGCCGTAGTGCAGTCACAGTACTTACAGAAGACAGCCTGGGTACCTGGCCAAGAACAGGCATGGGATAATGGGCCATAGGCCAGAGACCCAGCAAAAACTCCCCATTTACATGGTTGAGGTCTAGCACCTCTGCACTCAGCTGGATGCTTTAAGGAGTTTGGTGTACTCTCCACTCAGAGTATACTTGGGGATTGTGCACTTACATGTCCCTTGACAATGGTCACAAACAGTACCAATATAAACCCCACCGTCCAGAAAACAAACTGCTCAGCAAGTGGTCACTTTCCTTAAAGATTTAGCCCAGAAATGAGTTGATAGGACACAGGGAAAGATTCCAGAGTTCCCGAAGTGGGTCAAAGGACAGCAGTCCATGTAACTGAGTTGCTTCTCCAGGCCAGTCACTTGCCAGAATGGCCACCAGGATACTGGTCACTCACCCCCTCCCAGGACAGAGGAGCTCTAAGAGCTTTTCATGAGAAATAAGGATGGAGAGAGTTAGTGCTAGAATCAGGGCCAACTGGCCTGAGGCCTATTTCCTTCTGGCTGTGGACAGGCTTGGGAGGGAAGGGGAAATCACAAAGTGGCAGCTCCTGGTGGCCAAAGCCATTGTGAAGGGGTGTGAGGTAAGCCCCGTGGCTCTTGCACTGGTCCTGAGTCAGAGAACAGAGACTGGGGTGTGAGGGGTGGTGGGTTTATGTTGCCACTGTAGCTCCCAGCAAATGGCACAGGCCCCTTTGGCCTCTTTCCCCAAAGGACATTCATTTGGCTGAGAAGTGAGCATTTTTCCCATATGTGAAAGGAAATTGAACTTTCTGGGAGTGAAGGACTCAACGCAATGCCTGGTACTACTCCACTAATCCATGACCTTGCAGCAACTTGGCTACTGTGCTAAAAGAGGCACTCAGCCCTTGAGGTCTCTGGCAAATCTCTCCTCTGGCTCCATGGCCATCATTTCCAAGGCACAAAATAGCCACACAGTGCCTGTTTCGTGGATCAAATGATTCAAGACACACCATGGCTCTGGCTCAGTGGAGGGACCCATGCTCACCTGTGGCTAGATGCTGCCCTCCCCTCTTGCCAGGTGAGAACAGCCTCAGCTGCAGCTGCTCTGCCTTCAGGGAAGGCCCTGAGACCTAATGAGTCCCCTGATGTCACCCAGCAGCAGAAGCCAGACAGAGAGGAAACTGTTTTTGGAAACTTGAGAATGTAAGGCACCACACCACCCTTTTCTCAGAAGGGCAGAGAAGAAAAGACAGATATTATTGAAGGAAGAGAACAGGAAAGGGATGAAGGAAACCTGTGTCTCATGGAATGGAACAGTAGGCAATCCTCTTCTCCATTTGGCCCTCCTGGACCAATGTTATTACAAGAGTCACTGGACATTCTCTTAGCAATTCATGAAACTGAGTAATCAGAAACTGCCTGTTTCAGGTGAGTACACCTGAGATTAAAATCTTATATCCACTCCCAGCAAACTTAAAATTATATACTCAGGCCACCTAGCAATTTAGGGGCTGGTAATGCAATGTGAATTATCTAGAGCCCTTCATCCCTCCCTTTCTGAATCCCATAGGAGAAACTTACCTACCTTAGTGCAAGTGGGGAAGAGAAAGATGCACAGAAACTGCTGCAAAGATGAGTTAAGATGGGACTGAAGTGTCCACATAGGAGGAAGCCGGAGACAAGCTGTTTGTCCAAGGAGGTTCTGAGGTCATTTGCTTTCCCATGGGCAATGCCCTTGGGGCTGATGCTGATTTCTGAGATAACCACTGTTGTCAACTCTATTATTTGCACCAACATCTAAGAACCCTCTGCTGTCCCTGAACTGAAATCCTGAGTCTGACCACAGGGATGGAAACCAAGCCACTCCCAGACAAACAAACCCAGCACTTTGTACCTCGCTCCAGCTCGGTCACTCTCTGCAGCAGCGCGTTTAGAGTGTTCTCAGTCTTCTGCCTGTGAACGGAGGTCTCATTGTGGAGCAGGGACTTCTCATCCTCCAGCTCCGCCACCTTTCGCAACAGCTGCCTCTCCAGCTCCCCAAGCCGCCGCTGGAGCACCTCTCGGAAGTCACTGGGAAGCCCCGTGGTGGAGGCGTTAGTGCGGAGCTGGAGCTTTCAGTCGGGGAGAAGGGGACGCAAGAGGAAGAAAAATATTCAGGCTCGATGAGCAGAAATTGTGACATGTAGCTCCCATGACCCGACCACACATGGAGAAGCTTCCAAAAACTTGGGATTAAATCGCACCAATGGCTTGAAAGGGAGCACTGCACAGCTGACCCTTTTGGCGGGGGGGGGGGCGCGGTGAAAGTAGGGAAAGGATTTCAAGTCAGAGAAGAATTACTTTGCTGCAATATTTGAAACTTGTGAATCTCATTTTCCCCTCTCCAAAAAAAGCTGCTTTTCTCCTCTAACTAAAAAGTCAAAATTTAAACCAACACCCATAATTTTGTCAGATAAAGACCAAAATATAGAGTTTGTTTCCCCTACAGAGTTAGTGATGCTCAAAGCTGGTGAGAGCCTTCATCTGGAAATGAAAACAGCTTCCAAGTTCCAGAATGACACAAAGGTAAATAACTATGCTTGCAGAGATATCATCGAGCAATGACAGGCATAAAGCATCAGGAGTCTAAATTCCAGAAATCTTTGTTTTTAATGCTCTTCCTAAATCTTCACTTTCTGTTTCTCTTACACCTCTGTCTCAGCTTACTGCCGCCTAAGCCATGAGCCCTTGGCAAGCTCTTTACCTCACTCGGTGTCCAAGTGCTCCAAATTATGAATTGCAGAAAATAGAACCCACCGCATACTGTTCATTGTTGCAGGAGTTAATATTAAATAATATGTCTGACTCATATTTAGTACTCAAGAAATGTTAGCTGTTAGTAATCGTAATGACTCATGGCATGTACAGATGCTGGAAATACTGTATTTAGCTTTCATGCCAAAAGAAACCCTCCAACAATTTAACAATAATTACCACCTGTAATTCAAACCTTGTCTTGCTAATAGGTATTTTGATAAACTCTATTAACAGAAATGTCCACACTTCTTAAATAGGGTGGGAAGCAAAGAGGAAAATTAATTGAAGATTTCTCTCTCAAAGTTCCAAACTGTACGTCTTTCAAGGAGAGACAGTAATAAGATCCCTTCCCCAAAAGCAATCCGAAAGGGCCTCTTAAAATGGTCCAACTCAATAGGCAAGCACCTTGGAAGTTAAGAGGTTTGCTTAGATGTGCATTTTGGGGTCGCAGGTGACCCCGCTGCGCTATCTTTTCTCACCGCCCCGGCTCTCGCCTCTTCTGGTCTTTTCTGGTGAAAAGAAAACACCAGATTCCCAGGGCAGCTGACCTCCCACCTCCCGCGGCAGCCTCGCAGCCCCTGGCACAACCAGATACAGCCAGCTTGGCTCGTGGACACTCTCGGGAAAGGAAAGCCGCCGCCACATCCCCGGGCATTTCGCGCCTGGCTTGGCCGTCCGGCTCACTATCCAGGACCTCTGCAAGTTCACTGAGGGTCTGGGGCTCAGTCCTGGCGCGCCCGAGGAAGGGGATGGGGGGGTTAACCCTCTCATTTCCAACAAAGAGACGAGGGAGGACGGAAGAAAGAGGTGCGACGCAAGTAAGGTCCTGAGTAAGACCGAGACCCTCCTCTTGCACCCCAAACCCAGCTCGTCTGGCAGACAAGCCCGTGTACCCGCTCCTCCCCCGAACCCTTCACCCCACGAACCGGGGGCGTCACCCCTAGAGTCCGGAGCACCGTTACCTCGAGGCTCTCCAGACGGTCCTTGAGGGTCTGCAGAGAGCGGCTGAGCTGCTCCACGACGTGGCCGGGGTCCCGAGGCAGGTCGCCCATGGT